TAAAGCCTGGGAGAAACACACACACACACACACACACACACACACACACACACACACACACATGCATACAAAGAGTGAGTAAAATGTGTAATGCCAGCTCCTTGAATTTTCTCAAAATTCTTTTGACTGGAGGGCACTATGTATAAGTTGATCAGGAGGCCACAAAACAGAAAGAGGGACGGAGGGAGGATGAGAGCCAGGGAGTAATGGAGCCAAGCTATTTTAGTCAGTTCTGCAGTTCACCTGTTTCCTGCTTATGATAAATTGAGGTCTGACAGAGCAATCTTATACATGGCTACTTAAAGACAAAAGCACTTTTGGATAAGTCTTATACTTCTATCTTCTTTTTTATCAATTATATTTGCTTCTCCAGAAAAATTACATGATTATTTTGAAACCCAATGTAGCACCTCTCTATTAATTTTAGGGTACTGAATAATGCAGCACAATTTGAAACAGAAAGAGCTTTTGCAATCCAATTTCATTGAGGGGATATGTCCTCTCCAGAGGCTGTAGCAAATATCATCTCTGGCCTTGGTTTCCCCACCTTTGACATATGACAAATACATCAGAATCAGCTTGTATACCTACCGGTAACAATACAGCAGGGTAAAAAAAGTTGGTTCTCTTATTGTTGCACAGGTTTTATTTATGGGGTTTCTTATGGGAAGGAAGTTAAAAAAAAAACAAAAAACAGAAGCCCAAATGGCCCACTGTAACCCTTACTGCAAACATGAACAAGCAAAGACATAAATAAACTGATTTTTTCCCATTTTTTAAAAGGGGAGTGATTAATAGGACCTTCCTCCAAGCGTCCATTTGACTGCAATTTATATAGGTGTGTCAGGTCTCAAATTCCTCTTTCTCCTGCCAAGAAATAATGGCCCAGAGCCTCAGTTTGACTATGTGGGTGGAAGGCAGAGTAGAAGATATTTTAATGAAGAGAGAAGGCAAGAGATTGGCAACTCAGACTCCCAAGCTGAGTTTTCAAGTTGACAGCAATCTGTTCTCTTCCTTTCCTTGATTATTCTTGCATTGCATCAAATTTGAACATCAGACAAGTTTTCCCATTTGCCTCTTGTCAATCATAGCCCAGCAAAGACGGATGAGGCCTACAGCTTCTCCGGTCAACCAGCAGGAAGGATCCCAAGAAGGAGAAATCCCTTTTCAATGGCACAGATCATGTCTTAATGTTTCTGCCAGATTGCCTGCCGGTTGGAAAGAAAGGTAAAGCAGCAGAAGCAGGCACATTCTGATGCCACCAACACCAAGACAAGCAGTATAACTAGAAGAACAGTATAGACATTTTGTCCTCCTGCGTCTGGAAGTTTAAAAATCTAGATCTTTTAGAGTTGGAAAGAAGTAAAAAATACTACCAGGTCTATCATTTCCAGGATATCTTTCTTCAGCTGTGTTAAACTATAGTTCCTTTGCTCAGCATACAGCAGACTCAACTGCCGCGCTAGTTAGAGAAGATGGTAACAACAATGTATCTGGCGACCCCCTGGTTTGGGAAGGTTATTTTAAAACAAGGGCAGGCAGTAACTCTCTTTCTCTTAGCCTTTTTGTCGGGGAATTAAAAGCTTGCAAACGTGTAAAGGAGCCTCTTTAAAATTAATTTGTTGAAAAGTATGTTAATGAAAACTAGCTATTTTGCCTTCAGATTTTGTGATGTGATTTGTGAAGACACCAGGGACTACAAATTTGGGGCAGCAGGTGGCATGCAGGTTGCATACTTGTTCCAAAAAACTGGAACCTTCCCCAGTATCTGGATTCTATTATTACTTTGAAATTCATTATAAAGATGTCCCTAGAACAGAGTTCCCCAAACTTTCAGGGTTGGCGGCCTGGAGAGGGGTGAAACGGGATGGTTTTGTGGGAGGGGCATCTGTTGCTCACACAAGTGGGGCCGAGAGTACCCACTCGTGAGAGTGAAGCCCCGAGCACTCGAGCGAGTGAGGCCACAAGCGCCTGCAATACTTGCGCGAATGGAACCATGAGCACCTGCGACATTCGCGCAAGTGAGGCCCTGAGCACCCACAACATTCTCCTTTTCTAGCTATGTTGCAGCCCTTGTGTAGTAAAGCTGCTAAATCTTGAACATACATTACAGATGTGTCTTTAAAAAGTAACAGAGTCAAGAAATGTACAGTGTATAATGAAATTTACACCACTCAGATTAATATCATTCCAAAGGGAAAAGTGGGGAAGAAATGGAAGTGGACAAAGAGCATCTTCTACCTTGAACATCTTTCATTGCTCCTAAGGACCATCTGTTATAGCTCTGTGGGGGAAATCTTGTTGACTTAAGTTTCTGTATTTTTATTTCACTAATGCATTTTGATACTGCACAGCAGTATTTTGGAAATATCTGTATTGCTAAAAGTAGTACAGCCATAGTAGTAGCAATACTAGCAGTGCATAACAACAGAGAAAGTTTCAAAGCAATAAAAAGCAATTTCACAATCTCATGCAACAAGTAATCCTCACCTCTAGCAAAGGTAATGGGGCTATTTAAGAACAGGACAAATATACAAAAGAAAAGAACATTTGTATTAAAAGCAGAACCTTAGTTCACTCTGATGTTTTAGCCAAGAGAGTATTTTTCCTCCTAATATTCCTTTTGGAAGAAGAATCAAATAGGGATGCACCACTTTAAGGAAACAAATTTGCCCCGAAGGGGTACATCTTGGTGCCAAAAATTCCTCTGTTCTACTTCTAGATTAACCTTACCTACCACCACTGTGCCCTCCACATATAATTTCTCATCAATTTGAAGAAACTTATATTAGAGTACACTGTAAATGTACTGTGGTAGACACATGATATATGTCTCCATCCAAACAAAAATAACTTGGAAATAATCACCACTTGGTCAAGGTCTCAAAGGTGCTTTTTCAAAAGGCAATTTGACTGGTTTTTTTTCCTTGAGGAAGAAGAACAAAATGTTTTGTTTTTCTTCAAGAAAAAAAAACAGTCCAGTTGCCTTTTGAAAAAGCACCTTTGCGACAATTATCACCTGGATCACTTGACACACCCACACCTGACCCATCACAAGACCTACTGACCACATGAAGCCCATATAAACAGAAGAACACTGACACTGACATCCCCTAAATTCCACTGAAGATGTTACCTAGCCTGGTAATGAAACATTCAGAAACCAACCCTCAAGCTCAGAGAATGAACCTTCATCCCCCACCCAAATCTTCTTCTTCTGTCTAACCATATTAGGAGAAAGAAACAACCTAGACCTAACATACAACAGTCCCAATATTGATATGGGTTCTACACTATATGCACAAGCTGGAGAAGATTTGCTCATCATAACCAATAAAGCAGAGATAGGGGATCTACGATTCTCCAGATCTGACTGAAATATATCTGCCAGTATGGCCAATGATGGAAATTGTTGTCATTCAGTAACATATACAAGTAAACAAACCAAATTATTGTGCCACAAAGATCAGACACAAAAAAGATGGGAGAACCAGAATTGGTACTTTTAAAAACTGAATTTCAATTTATTTATTTTTTATTCTATTTAATCAGAAATCTTTACTAATAAAATATCTGCCAGGGTTTTTTTGTATCTTTTCTTGAAATACAAGATAAAAAGTGAAGTAAAAGTAGATAAGCCATTCAGGGGGAAAAACATTTTTTTCAGCTCATAATAGGAAGCCGCCCAACAGTAAAAACTCACATAAGAACAGACCAGGATAGACATCTAGAAAAACTTTAGTCTCTACCTTGTTCATGGCACATTGTCCAATATAATTTGTGTTGCTTAAATATCTTAAGGCAAAAGACAGAAATACAAAATCTGCTTTTGAATAGATTTTGGCCAGGCTTTTAAGTCTGACTCCTTATCCAATTTCCATTCCATCTAATTATCTAGGTTTAGGAGAATGTTGGCTCAACAGGCCTGGTTTCAGGACTCATGAGCTGGTCTAAAAAAATCTGGTTTTTAACCTTCAAATTTGAACCAAAAACATTATTTTTCTTTGGCTACATAAAGGCGCTAAATGCTGAGAATTAGCATGCTATCTAAGTTCTGGAAAAATATAATGCAATTAGGAATTGCAACTCACAAAAAACAAAAATCTAATTTAGGACATGTAACAAGTCCAGAGCAAATCACGGGTATTGCCAGCTATAGCTGCGGAAAGACTACTCTGGAATATTTTTATTCATTGCCAATCTTTACAAATATATGAGATAAGTAGAGCAAAAGTGAAACTCAGTAAAAGGCAGCCTTTATATATAGATATATATTCCTTCTTCTCTTTCCTTATCAATTTTAATCACAATTTAGTATTAGGATTATAGTAGATATTAATTATTTCCACAGATCTGAGGGAGATGGGCAGTTAAAAAATAAGAAATATAAACAAACAAATAAATAAATAGGTTCCATCTTACCCAGAACTGAAATATCTATTTCAGATCCTAGTTTACCATAACTTTTAATTACCATCATAAAAGAATGCAGCACAATTTTATGTATGTCTGTACAAAAGTAACTTCAACTGTATTAATATATGTTACTTCAGTTAAGCATGGAGTTAAGTTTAGTTGGAGTTAAATAAAAGTTCCATTTAAGTACAGTTAACTACCAAGTAAAAAATACAAAATTAACTTTTCAAATAAAAAGAAATTCATTTTAAATCTTGTAAATTTGTCCACAAGATGAGACACAAGTGTTGTTCCCAGATGAGACACAAGTGAAACAGATGTTCACAAATTAATTTCCTTAACAAATAGTATATTTGATACAATGAAATGAAGAAGAATTTGCTAGGTCAAAAAGGTTTCCACAGGGATCTTGGATATTCATCAAGAAGCTTCTGTACTTTCTGACTCACTCTAATTGTTGAACTTAGTCCCCAAAGTTTATTCATCATTATGCACAGTCAACCAATTATATTGTTTGTCAATAAAAGAGATTAGAAGGAAGGTCACAATTATTTGGATGTCTTGCTGCTCTTCCTATTACTCACCAAGGTTGGGTTGTGACATGGCCATTGATCGTTGTGATACTGGGGTGGAAGTAGTTGAAGGATGATGGCTCATGTGATTTAATGGCTGGGTCATAGTCTTTCGAGGATCTTGCCAAGTTGTAATTTTCTCTATGTGGCTAAAAAAGAGAAAGTTGGGAGTTATTAAGATTATGCCAACCTCATTTTAATTAGATGTTGCTTATTTGTTTGTGCCATTAGTCTGCCTCCCTACTTTTTCTTGGCATCACAATATCAACCCATATAAGCATCCAAAATTGCTATTTGTTCACTCTTCTGTCATATTATTTTACCATCATCATAGACCTGATAAAATATCTGTTTTTGAGAAGAATAAACAATATGCCAAAATCAGCATATCTACAAGGCTATTCTCTAAAGAAGCCATCAATCTGTGTATTGAAATTACTCAGCTGCATTTGAATATCTCTGTATTATTGGATGTAGTCTTGCAAACAAAGATAGGAATATGCAAACTCTGGAAAAATTTCAAGGGCAAAGTTCTTGAGACATCTAAGAATTCTTGAATCTTGCAAAAGTAAAGTTTCTATTTGCCTAAAATTACTAACCATTATTGCATTAATTACTAGTCTTCATATAGCCTGACATTTCTTCATTATTTTATTATTTTCTATTTTTCCAAATCCTTTTCTTTAGAATATCCTGCCTCCAAATATGCAGATTTCCTTGAACTTGTTTCCTGTAGCAGAGCCAATAAATCCTATAGTGGGGTAGTTCCTTTCTGCTCATTCCAGAAGTAGCTCAAACTCTGATGGCAATTCATTTGGGAAAAGATGATTCAATTTCCAATTCCAACTTGCCTTCCAACTTGTGTACACATATAGTTAGCTACTTGTAACAGCTAGTTTCAATTACACACCTGTAATTGGATTTAGCAAGGCCTTCTTTCTATTCTAGCTCCCTGGGGAGCTTTTACCAGTTGCATATATGAGTTCATCTAGATATGTAAAAGAAACAAAACCATGCCATCATTGATGTCAGCCTTGCAAGTAGTGCATACAAGTAGCACACCCAGAAGAATGAGCTCTGATTTATTGTAAGGTTACATTTACAGAACCTTGCAAGTCTGAAAGTATATTTTTCCTGCCATCATCTTTTTAGCCCAAGAAACTAAGGAGGGTCCCTCTTGAAATGTTTGCCACACCCAAATGCCTCTGCAGGCTGTGGCCACTTATTGTTGCCCTGTTGCCCTGACTGTGCTCTTCTCCCTTCCTCCCAAGGTAGAACTAGTTCATCTGGCTATGCTCCCTTGTCTGGACTACTTCGCAAACCTGGCATTGATGTTGGTATGACTTTGTTTCTTTTAGTCAAGATAGTCCTTGACTTATGAACACAATTGAGTCCAACATTTCTGTTGCTAAGCAAGACATTTGTTAAGTGAGTTTTGCCTGATTTTATTACCTTTCTTGTCACAGTTGTTATGTGAATCACTGCAGGTGATATTATGACCTCCGGACACTGCAGCGGTCATAAATACGAGTCAGTTACCAAGCATTTGAATTTTGATCATGTACCCATGGGGATGCTACAACAACCTTAAGTGTGAAAAACAATCATAAGTCCCTTTTTTCAGTGCTGTTGTAACTTCAAACAGTCACTAAATAAACTGTTGTAAGTCAAGGACTACCTGTACAGAAAATCGCTCCTAGAAAAAATGTGGCTTTCTCCAGATTATTGCCTAAGTCCCACTGCTGAAGAAAACTTAGCACCAGACATACCAACGTCCTTTTTCTATATCAGAAACAAGGCATCCAGCCCACCGAGGCACTGTGCCCATAACAATGATATGGGGGCCATATTCAATTTCAGTAACCATTTGTATTCATTATTTATTTTTATCTTTCTCAAGTAGGCTTAATTTGAGTTTTCTTCTAGCTTATCGTTACAAAACTTGAGGTGGAGCTATCTCCTCCCATAGAAAGTACCATCAGAGTATTCTAGCTCTGCCCATTGTTCAAGATGAAGGGAGAGATCAGAATGCCCTGTATTTACTCAAGAAAACATCCATGACAAATTCATTGTACTGCTCTTCATTTTTGCTTGTGCTTGTGCTCTCTTTGTTGTTCTTCATCATTTTATACTTGTAAGCTTGCAGACACGAACTGGATTTTTTTTTTAAAAAAAAAGTACAATGAATGTGTTTAATTTTTTTCTTATGAATAATAATAATAATAAAGATAATAAAAGTAACAATGAAAATAAAATAAACAGTAATAAAAAGTTAGCATATGAGGTGGCATAGATTCTGATGTAACTTTTAAAAACTCTGAAAATTTAGCTTCACCTTTATCCCAGATTTTTGACTCTGCAGCTCAAAGCCACTTTCATTTTTTCTGTATCATTTGCCTTCCCTTTCATCTAGTGAGTCATTTCCTCACTTCAAGGTTTCTCTCAATTCTAGTTTTGCTTTCCAGCACTTGTTTCTCTTTTATATTATTTAAACATTTTTCCTCTTCAACTCTGTGCTGTCTAAATGTCTAAGGCTCTAAGTTCTTTTGTTTTCATTAAACAAAATACTGAAACATATTTTAGTACCTCTACATATGTTAGATGACATCTCCTACAATTCAGTTTTTGTTCAATGTATTTAGGAACTATGAATGCTGTAGTTTAACATATATTGTACTATAGAAAAGTTGCTGAAAATGAACAGAATGGAATCTCCACATATTTCTTTCTTTAAAGGGGGGGGGTAGCAACATGTAAAGTGTTCTAGCCTAAGGATAACAAAAAATTGAGAGGAATGTGATTAATATTTACAGAATCATGCATGGGGCAAAGAATATAGATAGATAATTATCTTTCTAGCTCTTCCTCAGCTCTAGAATCTGGGATCATATTAAAAAGGATGGGAAATTAAACTATCTGTAAGAAAAAGTGTATCTGATAGGATACCTAAGTACTTATTTTATTTTATATCAATATTGTTAATATTTCTAAAAAATGTCTGTTCTTCCTTAATGAACAAAAAAGCTTGAAAGTTGATCCATTTTCTGTTTGTCCTTTCAGTATATATATTTCAGTTTAAGTATTAAAAATAGACAGAGGTTTAAATCACTCCTACCGCCTGTAATAATATATATCTAGCAGCTTTGTACATCTGTCTTATCAATTCAGCAATTTTACCTGTGTAGTAGTTAGATTATTTACATTTTAAGCAGCATAAACTCAATGTGGCATAGAAGTTTCAACTGATGTACAGAGAATATAACCCACTTAAATAATATAATTTACTAAGATGGAGGTGATTAAAAATGTTCAAATAAACTGAAATGCAAACAGAAGACTAGATATTGAAATTGGACAATAAGGTTTTCTTTCATGGGAAGACAACATAATGATCAAATAACAATTCTAATCTATCAGTAAAAGAAGAATTTTTATATGAAATCCCAATCATTCTTAATAAATTATTGATTGTGCAAAAACTTAATGTCACATGGAACAGTTAGACATAACTGTGGCTTCTGTTGCTAGTTGATAAAAGGCATCAAAATACATTTCTTGCGGTGTAAGTAACAGAATATTACAGTCTAAAGAAATGAGAATTTGAATATATGAAGGGGGAAAGATGTGTGGGAAAGTGTTTTTTTTCTTGGTGACAAAGAAAATAACAAAAATTAAACCACCTTAGGATCTAATTCATACACCACGCTACTATATGCCATTACTGCTTTTTTTGTCTAAGCCATAGTTAGCTGCAAACAATGATATACAAATCATAGGGTTCATTTATGTGGCAATCACAAACCAGACAAAACATATTATGGCATAATGAAACATGCGAATCCAACCCTTGGATTACATTCAAGTTCCATTTTTAAATTTATGACATGCTGAAATCAGTATTAAAATGAACTTTACATGGATTTCAGTGGGAACCAAATTCAACTAATATAACTGGATATAATCTGATATGGTCTGTTTTCACACCAATACAAAAAGTAAGGAACGCATGTGTTAATTTTATTATCACATATAGGTGCAATAGCTTTAACAGCTATGAAATACATATATGATTCTCATTTTGTTAGCTGCAAGTTGAGCATCTCATAAATGATTAAATCTGACTCAAAGTAAATGGAAACTTCTTTTACTGGATAAACTGGTATTTAACATATGAAAAATGTTTGAATTACTTCAATGTATGAACAAAGCAATGGGCTCTTCTAAGAGATGACAGTGACAACAAATGAAGTTGTTTATTTTAATAAGTCTGCCACTGAAATAGGCATCTATTGTTTCCAACCAAGCTCTGTTCTCCCTCCTATTACTGGCATGCTGTAAATATCACAGTGCCAAGTGTTATCTACTCTTTTGGGAAACACATTTGTCACAACACTCTCTGTAGCAGCAGTTGCTTTCTTCTTCACCAAATTAGAATGAAGGGGAACTGCAGAGTCTGGTTTTCCCCTTGTTTGTTTTGTCAGTCAATTCTCCATCCCTTTCAAATGTAACCATCAGAGATGCCCTGCCCTAAAGGGAGAGGCCTGCCATCTGCTTCTTTCATAACTTTGAGCTTGATAACAACTATCTCCAAAATAAAAAGGCCATAAAATACCTTCTCTTAAAGTGGAGCTCACATGTAAGGAAACCACAATCCCATGAAAATGTGAGATGTATTTCTGCTTTTTAAAGGAGAGATAAATTGGTGAGGAGGAGCTCAAAACATCACCTAGATTTGCATGCAGATGAAAGACAAAAAAAGTAAAACAAGGCTGGGCAGGTTGAACCCAAGACATTATTCTGTCTGAGATTCTATTGTTCTCTCCTTTGATTGACCGATGTTGTATGCCTGTTTTAACAGTAGAGTTATCTCTATGCCACTCTAAATCCTGTCTTAAATCAGGAGAAACCTTTTGGTGGAGGTTTAAGATGAAATCTGTTGGTGGCTGAGGGCAATATTTAACATTTTGAAAGAGCCGAGGGCATCAGGGATGGGTTGTGATGCAAATGGAAAGGGCTGGAACTGTTTTTGTTTTCTTATGTGAGTTTGAGGAATTCCTTTGTTTTCTATTACAATGTTAATCTGATGTTAGAGATTATGCTACAGTTGTAATGTCTTTCTTCCCTTGTTGGGGCAGAAAATTGTTCCACC